TGTTTTATAGACGTGGCAAGATCTTTGTACAAAGACAAAGGCAAAACAGAGCCATATAAAGAACCACATGAAGAAGACAGGTGGTGGTCTTTCTGTATCAACTTCGGATCAATTATCATCAACAGAACAGCAAGTTTTAGAAACTATGCATACAACAGCAATCAGTGGGCATGATCATGTTGCTGAAACAGAAGTGTTATTTGTACGTATTTCTTTTTTATGTATGTAATTCGAATTTAAATAATATATAGAAAGTTCAAACTACATTTTTGAGTGATAATATTTCATATGTAATAACGTTGATGAATCACAAGATTATATATAATACATAAAAAATAGTTAATATATAAGTTTAGTCCTTAGTTCATCAATGATTTAAACAAACATTAAGTTCTGCATATTTATAGCTGTTAAACTAGTGCATCCTATATAACATTGTAACCAATGTTTAAATTGTAATGATCAATGTTGTATGTGTATAGGACTTTCAGGATGTAGAATACTTAGACGATGATTATCCGAACTTGTCACATAGTGAAGCAACAAATATGAAGCCAATGGATAGATATAACAAATATTATCAAACTACAACATGCAATACGCAGACTTGCTATATGGAGGATGGAACAAAGACAATTGAAAATAAAGAGGAAATAGCAATAGCAAGTAACAATAATGAAATACAGAACAGCAATGTAGCTGAGGATGTACCTACAAAGAACACGACAAAACGACCTGTTTCACAAAAGAAAAAAGAATCAAAAACACGAACAGTAGCAAGCCAAAGATTAGAAAACACAATAGGGTTTACTAACGATTTAGTACATTTAACAACGGAGGATCAGCAGATAAGAAAAAAATATTATAAAAGAAAAATTAAGTTACTGAAAAAAGATATAATTATAAAAGAAAGAATAGCAAAGGCATTGGAAAATATAACCAATCTTCATCCTTCTACACAAAAGTAGTCTTAAACAGCTGTGATTTTTAGAGACTTTGTTTTTCTTTTGTTTATTGCAAATTATGTTAACTGCTGTTATTTTATATATAAGTACATAACTGTTGTAATTTTCATACATACACACACACATACACACTAATTACTTCTTGCGATAGACCAGTGCCTCTAGGTCCCCTCCTCCTAAGGGGGGGACTAAGTTTGAGCGCGATTTTAGCGTGACGCGGGGGCCATCTGGAGCTTTGCGTTGTATTTCCCAGATGGCCCCCACAATGCGCGATTAGGTGGCCACTCCCGGTGGTTTTAGTGCGGTAGGCGTCTCCGTTGCACTACTGGCTCTGGGCTATCTTCCCAGGTGCCAGGGAGACGAGTCCCACACACCACCCGCCCCCTTCTCCAGAGGGGGCGGGTGACGGTCCATGAGGATTTCCACCGGGTCAAAAAAAAAAAAAAAAAAAGACCAGTGCCTGCACACAGAAAAATATCCATCGTACAGCCAAGAAAAACAAATTACTTTGTTTATTTTTTTATTTTTAATTATTTTATTTTATTATTATTTTTTTATTATTTGAATACTAATTGGGCCGAACGCAGGTTGTCTTTCATCTCATATTATTTTGTGTTCCTAAATTGTGTATGTGTGTGTGTATGCGCGCGCGCATATATATTTATAATATAAGATGTTTTGGGATATTTAATGTCTTTATATGCACAATTAGTTTATGTTAACAAAGTTTTATTTCTTGTAAACGTACCTGATTATGATATTAAGTTTCATTTATTATTGAACGTACGTATATGTGCAATGTGTATCATACTTTTAAGTTATATAATAAATAATAAACAATGTGTTCTTTATTATATTTAATTATACATGTTTTGAATTAATCGACCTCGAAGCCTTCTTCCTGCAGTAAGTTCTTGATTAATACGGTTGTATTCAGGAATTTCATTGTTATCATTAACATTTAACCCAAAATCAGCATTGTGATCTTCTTCTGGGCGTGGTTCTGGTATTTGCTCTTCAATGCACATATTGTGTAACATCACACAAGAATTGATTATGCGCGATGCTACATCTGGTTTATAATGCAGAACTCTATGCTTTAACAAACATCGGAAACGCATTTTTAATAAACCATTCGTCCTTTCTATGAGGGATCGTATTCCTCTGTGCGCAATATTATATCTATCTTCAGGCGAGTCTGGTGCAGCATTCATGACAGGTGTCAGTAGCCAGGGTCTTAAGGCATATCCGGAATCGCCTATAACAAGATATAAATTATCATTATTGAATATAAAAAGTGTTAACAATATTTTAAAATATTTATATCCCATTATTACATTTACATTCCATAGTTTGTAATGATTTATGTATCCCTCAGATATAAGACGTTTAACAATTAATGTATCGTCGAAACCTCTCCAACATGGAGAGATCTCGTGGTTTCGTATGTTCCCGTTGGGTCAGGATGGAAATGAATAGAATGCGTGGTTTTGAGCCAGTGGAGAAATTCCTTTATTGGCTCGTGGGGAAAAGCCTTGCGGCATAAAAACCCCTATGATCTTTAATCGAGTATGTGTGTTGTACAACAGGTGAAATTCGTGTATGTATCGAGTGAACGGGGCCCC